TCTTCTTGATACGGTGTTTGGAGGAGTGAAACAGGGAAGCCGTCCCCGAGTGCCTTTTGGCTCATACAGACCCCAACTGCAATATTACGTTATACTGCTTTGTAGTTCTTTTCCTGTTGCAATTTCCCCCCTAGAAGCCTGGGAGCTGCAGTTTTATGACTATACAGAGAATTCACTAAGATGGCCCTAAACCTTAGTTTCATCAGATGATAATGATGATCATCATCACATGATATGGAATATCTCATCTAGATGTGGCTGGGGAAGAAAACCTATAGACTAAAAGAAAGTTACACGTTATGCACAGAGAATGAACAACAGACTGTATCTGTTTCTCCTACCACTTCTCCCCATCTCTGGCTTGGCGTACCCTGTTTCTCCTACCTTGTATTTGCTAGAAGAGTGTTGACTTGCTGCAGGAGAGAACCACTCAGACTTTTTCCATCCCTCAGAAGCTGCTCTACCCCAGCCAAGCTGTTCTCCAGGTTACGCAGACGGCTGTTGCTGGCTGCAGATACGGGGCCACCTTCCTTCAGGGCCCGTACCCTCTCCTGCAGCCTTTGCAGTTGTCCATAGAGCTGATTCAGCACAAGGTCCCACTGGCCGAAACAAGCATGGCAGGGAGAACAGTGGGGAAAGTTCTTCTGGAAGCCCCGTTGGCACTGGTCACAGTTTCGCCCCATAAAGCCATCTCGGCATGAACAACGTCCAGTGAGGCGGTCGCACTGCAGGCTCTCAGCGCCTGTGGGGTCACACTCACAAGCTGCGGAGAGCAAAGACGGAGGTCATGCCCAAGAAAAGCTAATAATAAAGATCCAGAGACACAAGCTAGGAGGATGTCAAAGCACTGGGTCCCCTTAGTTCACCTGCAAAGGTGAGTCAGCTTGTCCAACTTCTCTCTGGTTAACAGGGCTGACAGTATGGGGCCAATCACAACGCATAGAGAGGTGAAAGGGGTATGAAATGGTTAAAATGAGGCACTTTACACATAACTATACTTGTTATCTAATATGCCACTGATATCTATGCCATCTAAAATTCCTTTTTTGCAGGAAAAATTCATCAGTAAGCCTTCTGCAAATGATGCACCAGGATGTGAGATTAATTCAGTGGGGAAAAACAGGACAAGGTTTAAAAGCCCTGTCTCTTGAATTTGTCATGACCAAGAATTCATCATTAAAGAGTAATCTCCTCTACTCTGGGCAGAATCCTAAATCCATCTGGACAGCCTGGCTTGTTCCGTATAATTTCTTTTTAAGCTGAGGAAGCCCATCTCACTTAATAAGTATATCTGTACTGTGCTTAGATATAGGCATATGATAAATAAATTTACTATTACTTATTATTGCTATTACAACTATTACTACTTCTAGTACTACTAATCAGAATGGTGATTCTGCATTAATCCCATCTTAAAGGTCCCTTTGGTTCTGATCTAATTTTTATTTTTTTATTTTTTAATATTTGGGTCAACTACTAAATTACAGGCTATGTTTGATAAGAGTTGGAGGTTAGGGGAAGATACCAATCTGTTAACTTCCAAAAGTGTAGAGCTTCAATTCTTTTTTACTGTGAATACAACATTTAAACTTAATGTTTAATTAATAAGTAACACAATAAAGGAAATCAGACCTAGATACCGAAATACAGGGGGCATAAACAAGCAATCTGAAATATCATAAAACGAATAGATTCCAATGCATCATGAGCAGCTTACAATAATATGAGATATTTCATATCCATTTTCTAGTCAAAAGAGTTTCGATTCTAATGAGAACGATGGCAGTAGACATACTGGAAAGGCACCAGATCAGGGAAAGCTGCTTTAAAGCCTGGCATAAATATGAGCTCATTCCCATGAGAACCACCTCCCATTCATCCAACTCTTTTTCTGAAAGGGTTTTCAATGCAGGCCTGTTCTCCCTGGTGAAATGTCCATATGCTTCTCTGTGTGCATGTTGTATGTGTTGGTAAAAGGCACCTGCTTACATTAGGTGCCCATATTTACCTATGCACTGCTTTTCTGGGTCACCCCAATGGTTTTCTTGGCAGTGAGAGCAAACACGACCTCCAAAAGCTGGCTGACAGTGGCACTGCCCTGTAAACTGAGCACAGCCAAAAAAAGGCATCTTAGAATAAGGACAGTGATATGGCTGGGATCTTGGGACAGAAGCACCAAGGTCACAGGCCCTTTTTTTTAGCACCTCTCCTTTGGGGTTAACTTTCCAAGGTCTTAGTCACTTACCATGTTGCAGTCTGAGCGTAACGAATGGGTAGGATCACAGTTACATGGCTGACAGCCCAAGTCACTGCCAAAGCCCCAGAAGTTCGGGGCACAACTATCACAGTTCTTCTCCACCACGTTGGCACGGCAGGGACAATTGCCCGTAGTTTGATCACAGTGGCAGATGCCTTCAGAGCAGTGTGTGGGCAAAGTACCCTGTTCATTACAAGTACAACCTGGGAGAAAGAGAAAGGATTGGCATCAGTAAAGCAGCATCCTGCCTGTTTCACAGCTTTTCCTGCTGAGAGTTTCTTACCCAAATCTTAGGAAGCCCCAAACCTCTCAAATATGAGGCGGGTTCTACTTCGCCCACCTGTGGGGTCCTCTGTGCTTCATGATGCTGCAGAATGTCCAGCATGTAAGAGCTTCACAAGGAACACATATAAAATATCTTGATTTTGCTTCACATGCAGTTGTAAGAATCACATAGGATCTTTCCCTAAAGTCTTGCTGAGTTTTGCTTACTAGTCAATTATTATTTGTTCTGAATGAGGATTGCTTATTTTAAGAAAAACTCGATGGCTAATATCCTGCCATAAGATATTTAAGTAGTCCCATGACATATGCACTTATTATACAAGGTTTTTCTTAAAATTTACCTGGCTGGCTCCAGTTAAGAAGAACAGAGAACAATTCGAAATAATGTATTCCCATCTTACCTGTCTTGCCATCTGACAAACGTAGATGTTACAAGCTCTGCTGTTGATTGTTCCCCAGGCTTTCAAAGGAGTGGAAAAACTGTTGCCAATTTTAAAATAAAGAAATCCTTTGAACTAGGAAAATATGTCTATAGCCTTAATTTCAATATCAAAACTGAGCAACCTGTGAAGGACTAATAAATATGGTGCATCAGAGAATATGCTAAATGTCTCCCCTTTGGTGCAAATCACAGCTGGGGTGTTTATAATTGCAACCAAATCCTCAGATTTGGGGTCTGGCAATGGGATTAGGGCCGTACAGTATCCAGAATAGAATATGACTCCCAGTCACACTGGAGTCATAATCATTTCTTTTCTTTTACAAATTAGGCCCTATTGATTAAAAATGTTTTAACTCCTGCAACACCAGATTCTGTTTAGCCTGCCGCTCATACAGAAATGGTCTGTCATCATATAATTCCTTCCTGGGTTTTTTTCCTCTCCACAAGAATAGCCATCCTTAGTAAGGTAACACTGTCTTTATATCTCTATAGCTTCCTAGCAACGCACTCCTGTCTCCATATGAGCTTTTCCATACAATGATTTTTCCCATCTCTGTGGCCGAATATCTTGTGACTAAGTGGCTGCAGCGTGGCTGTCCTGCAAACTCCTAAAAATGGTGGTTCCTGGAACCCTTAGGAAACCTCACTCGTGTTAGCAACAGATGGAATTTGTGTTCCATCACTGTTTTCCTATTGGAGAAACAACAAAATTCCCACACTCTGGACTTTCAGCTCATTTTTTCCCCTCAGTCCAGTTTGGGGAAAGCCCTCAAACACTGTTTTGTTAGCATGCAGCTCTCTCAAGATTTCTTAGGTTAACATACACACCCATTGACATCCTGGCCAGAAGGCCTTTGAGGCTTCTCTAGATTTATTAATGGAATGTTTTGTAAATGACCAGACAAATGTACATACACCAATTCAGGTGGACAAATGCACAGACTGTATGTGCTTTTGGGGGGAAAGCACTGGAACCTCCTGGAGTAGGAGGGAGATGGGAATTAATTCCACGACTGCTAAGTTGGAAGCAGAGAGAATGAGCACTGATTACTTCTATACCAGCTTACTTTCTTTTCTAGGAATCCAAGTAAAAATAGTTCAAAACACAAAATATTGGGTGAAATTGAGAGACAGCTGGGATGCAAATAAACATGGGGACAATGGGCCAACAAGGCAAATTGATTTAAAGTGGATACAACATTGACTCAGATCTTGTAACAGCCAGTGTGTGGCAAGGCTCTATATTTCCTCCCGCTGGCACCAATATTAGCAGGCTGTATCCCCAATGGTTGTTCACAGAATTAGCGGCATGGAATGAGAACTGAAATGTTGGACAGAAACCAGGAAGACCTAAGTTCATACTCCCACTTCAACATGGAGACGGCTACGTGATTTGGACTAGTTACTCTCTCAACCCAATCTACTTCACCAGATTGCTGCTGGAAGGATGAAATAATTCCCATGTGCACCACCTTGAGCTCCCAGAAGAAAGGAAAGAGAGAAATGAAATTAAATAAAGACTGCTTGTGATCTCACAGCTTCATGGAGACATCCAAAAGCCTTTTCTTATTCCCCAGACAAAAATCCCTCCCCACCATCGCAAGCTGGGTCTAATCATCTCACTCACGTCGGCAGCTCCGCTGAAAGGCATTGCCGTAGTAACCAGGCTGACATTCAGCACAGTGGGGTCCACCAGTGTGGTAAAGGCAATGTAGACACTGACCACTATGTGGATCACAGGCCTCAGGGTCACTGGGGTCAATGTTATTGTTGCACTGACAAGGGCGGCAGGCACCACCCTCCTGCTCAGGTGTCCCAAAATAGCCGGGGGAGCAGCAATCACATCGTGGCCCTGTCAGAAACACAGCAGGTTATCCATGAGATATAAAAAGTTGGAACCTCCTCCTCCTCCTCTACTACTTCATGATCAACCAATACTACTGAATTTCTGAGAAATTGGGAGAAGGGATTGGATTGAAGTTGGCTGAGGAAATATGGATCCCTATGGATCTAGTGCCCAAAGCCAGAGAAAATATTGTACTAATAATCAAATTTACTGTCCCAGTTGTATGTGCATGTGTGTGTGTGTGTGTGTGTGTGTGTGCAAGGGAGGGAGGGAGGGAAAATTAGGAGAAAATGAATCAAGTGATTGGCCTGCAAATCTTAAGACTGCACAATCGTACACATGAAAGACCTCCAAGATCTCCTTGCACCTCCTGCTTCTGCTCCTTGCATCAGCCTGCAAAAAACATAGTTGGTCTCAAGTATCTGCTGGCTGTATTTGTTTGGTAAGTCACATATTGGGCAGATCAACTTTGCACGAGTGTACCAAGAGTCCAAAAGGCTGTAAAGGGATACCGGAGAGGTTGGGCTTGCAAAGGGTGGAGCATTACAGATGGCTGGAACTTCAATTACTGTGGCAATCATACAGCTTCCTTGCCCCACCTTACCTGTATAGCCTGGAGCACACAAGCAAACGATCTGGTTTGTCTCCCTGTCTGCCTGACACGAAATGCCATGATAGTGCCGAGAACCTGGATATCCAGGACAAGGACATGGCCGACACTGCTGCCCTGATCCCAGGACTGGGTCTCCATAATACCCATCCAGGCACCTGCAAGAGAAGCAAAAGGCAAGTCCAAGCAATGACAGGCACCTGAAATTATCATGACCCTTTCAGAGTTATTCTTCACAACTAATATTGTCCCAGGATGGGCACTAATATTGATATGAGGAAGCTGCAGCAGGTTCAGAGGAGCACTACCAGTGTTACAATGCCCAGTGAAGAGGAAGATGCTTACAGAATAGATTACTGAGGGATTGCATGACAACAGTCTACATATATCAGAAATAACTCTGAACCTGTTCTCTGTTGAAAACCAAGGACAAGAAAAGAACCAATGAGATGGGCTGGAATTTGAGTTGAATAATACAAGGAATTTCCTGATGGTGAAGAGTTGCCTTCCCTAGAACAATGGTAGACTCCCATCCACTAGAGGTCTCAGATAGATGCTCTGTGGCTACCTGATGGGCATGGTTTACTGGATTCCAGCACTGAGTAGGGGGTTAGACTGGGTGACCTATCTTCCAATTCATAATTTCGATCTCTATCAGTTAATATTACACTCCACAGTACCCCCCAACACATTCCTTCTTAACATTTTTTATCTCAAACTCATAGGTAACCTATTTTCCACTAAACTTACTGGGTGACCTATCTTCCAATTCATAATTTCGATCTCTATCAGTTAATATTACACTCCACAGCACCCCCCAACACATTCCTTCTTAACATTTTTTATCTCAAACTCATAGGTAACCTATTTTCCACTAAACTTTCCACGCCATCAATTGTTTATTCATTTATGCAGTTTATTTATCATCTCCTTATGGACTAGCTGGTTCATAGAGATCATGTTGGTTCTTCCTAAAACAACTTTGCAAGCTCAGCTCAACTTTTTCCTTGGAAGATTGGTATCTACAGAGTAAGTATAATGCCATTCTTGGGAGGAAAATGAAAGACTCTCCTAGATAGCTTCAAAGCTGACAGTAAGATGGGGGAAGAATACTGCTTATACCTTTGATGAAAATCCTGCCCCCATATAAATAGATACATCTCTCAAAACATTTTTATTCATTAAAAAGTATTTAGTATCTCTTAAATAGTTCTCAGAACAACATTTCTACTATGGTGTGGTGAAGTGGGGCCTTACTCCAATTTCCCACTGATCAGCCATACCCACCTTTCACAGTGGCGGCCCGCTGTATAATCTCGGCATTGTCGGCAGGCTCCAGTGTGTGGATCACATTCCTCTGTGTGCCCATTACAGTGACAAGGCCGGCAGTGGGGGAAGCCCCACTGGTCTGATGGACACTGATCACACTGGCGTCCCACAATACCCTGCTGGCACCGGCAGTGCCCACCTACTGGGTCACAGATTTTAGAGACTGAACCCTCAGGGGAACAAGCACAGGCTGTGGAAAGAAGGATCACAGTTCTCAGTAGAGCTTGGGGAACAACATACACGTAGAACAAAACATACTTGTTTTGATGGAGGGTCAGTGAGGCTTCGTTCAAGGATGTCCATTGAATGAGAACGGCATTGCAGGGATTGACATCATTTGTGTCAATAATGAGGTCTTATGCAAATGACATAAATTGGCGCAAAATGCGTAACTTGAGTAATTATGTCATTATGCAAATGACGTAAAGCGCTGTGGAAATTTGGTCCAATGTGTGCAAAGTCGATTGCATTGACTTCTGATAAATGGAGATGCCACTGGGTCGTCTGTTAGGCTATCCAGCTGAGCAGGAGGCCAGCTGAGACACAAATTTCCGGGAATGTCCTGATGCAGATATTATGCCCATCCCATCTCTGGCACAGAACGCTTTTGTTTTTTTGTTACCTATACTATAGTAAACAGAAATGGAACATCTCCTTCAAGTTGAGCTCAGCTCTTGGTAACTACATGGAGATGACCATGATGTTTTTCTGGCAACAACAGAGAAATTGTTTGTTGCTCTGTTGTCTCTTCAGGGATGTTTTTTCTGTATCCCAATGTTGGTTTAATGAAATTTGTCAATTTAGCCTTTGAATTGCTTTTGTATGGAGGAAGAGGAAAGACTAGACAATATAATTCCATATGGTCTAGGTTCAATTCAAATTGAATCACAACTTGGAAAAAAAACAAAGTCATAAAATCTAGTAGCTTTCTTTCTTTCTCTGGGCTTTTAAATATAGAGAGAAAGAGTGGGAGAAAGATAAGTTGGATATTTAGGTATTTTCTTTTGTTATCTTGTTTTTTTGAGTTTACTATTGGATTTCCCCCCCACCTTTTGCAGTTTATTAAGGTAGCTTAATAGCATTATACTTTTTAGGGCTTTTTTTTCGTACACCATATTTATATACATACATATAAATAGATTAGGTATCTAAACTACATAGTTTCATTATAAAATAGTAATATAGTTATTTTATTATATTGCTACTTAGTTTTTCCTGTGTGTGTATGTATGTATGCATGTATATATATACTGTACATATACATATATATATATATATGTATATATACGTGTATGTGTGTGTGTGTGTATGTATGTGTATGTATATATGTATATATACATGTATGTGTGTGTGTATGTGTGTGTGTGTGTGTGTGTGTGTGTATATATATATATATATATATATATATATATATATA